TATTTCATTACTTCAGGAGGAATAAAATGTCTAGTTTTCTCATTATTTTTATTAATAGACAATTTTTTCAAATAATTTTAAATTTATAGAAAAACTAAGCAGATAATACAGAGCTCTTGTATTGCCTTCCACCCAGCTCTGTTATTAACATATTGCATTAGTAGTACATTTGTTACAATTAATAACCAATACTCATATATTATTAGTAATTAAAGTTCATAGTTTATTCAGATTTTGATTTTACCTAATGTCCTTTTTCTGTTCCAGAATCTCAACCAGAATACCAGGACTGTCTTACATTTAATGATGTTAATTTTGACCAGTGGGTTCAAGTCTTTTTAGAGGGATGGGTCCATTATAAAGTTCTATATTCAAACTTTCTCCTAATGGTTTCAGCATCTATTGGCAATCACTGTCTAAGTCCATTATTTCATTAGAAATTGTAAAATCATGATTTTTAAAATTCTATTTTTCCTCTGCAGTTAAAAGCTAGAATTATCCTATAAAGAACTTTCCTTTTTCAGCTATTTGGTTACTTTGAAATATTGTACAATTTATCTTGCATAGATTTTAATGGTTCTAATTGTTAATGATTCTAATATACATATGTGGTGTCTGTGAGAAATTCCAATTACTTTTAGCTTTTAAATTATTTTCACAAGGGTAGAAAATGTTTTATGAAAGCTATAGCTTTCATTTCCCTCTAAGTAATTTCTGCTATTCATACAGACTGCCCAAAAACATGTTGAAAGGCTAATTGTTATGTTCCTTAAAAAGAAAACTATTACAGTATATTTGTGTGAACCCAAAAATTTCAAGCATTTAACTGACATTAACAATTAGTCCTTATGGATTTTTAAACTTAATTATAATAGTACTCCTGATTAATTTACACAATATAATAACAAATAACATAATGATTTATAGCTGAAGAACTGAGACCCAGACAGTTGGAGGAAGTGGCTTGAGGGAACTCATTAATTTAAATGTGCAGGCCTATTAAAAAGAATTAGTAATAAAAATGTAAGAGAATATTACCCCTTTTACAAAAGTATGGCATGCTAGCTGTTTCCTTTCTCCTTAATACAATCTGTTTGTATAAGGCAAACTTAATTTTCTAATAGTGAAAAAATTATATAATATTAGAACCATAGAAAGAGTAAATACCTAGTAATCAGTCAAAAATTGCTTCTAATACACTGGTCTCTTGAGATCTAATTAACAAAATATTCCCAGATTCACTATGTACTATATTCATTTTGCTCAAAAATGTCAATACCACAATTATTTAGAAATTAAGAGAGCATGATCCAAAATTTTAAACAGACATGTAAAACCTGGTCCTTGGTTAGTCCTGGAATGAACTTTTTACATATCCTACCTCATGAATACATTATCAGAAAATATGTCCCTAAAACTGGGACATGTACTCAATTGCACAAGCTAGACAAATAATTCATGCTAATGACCTGTGGAGGTAATAGCTGACAGTAAGGGAAATTTAGAATGGATAGTGAAGGAGGGAAATGGTGCATGCCAGTTGCAGCCTGAGACCACCTGCAGTAATGGAATGCTGTAGTTCATCCCACTAATCTTCCCCTTCTAAGTTTCTCTTTAGGAAAAGAAGCCCACGGGGACCATGAAAAATCTGCTTCCAGAACATATGTAGAGAAATGGATCAGTGTAGAACAAGAGGTGGGCTGTAGTAGCCACAGAGGTGCTCCACTCAGATCTCCCTTCAGAAGAACCTGCTGCAGGGAGCATAGCTGAATGGCAACCAACACATTTTTGGTTCTAATTTGTTCATGCCAGGCAATGCTTCTCCTGGGCTTCTCCTAGGCAATGACCAAGCAAAGCAGGGTGTAAGAACTGGTCTAGGGAAAAGGACTTGAACAGAAACTTTTCTAAAGACAGAAGAATGGCCAACAAACATAGGAAAAAATGCTCAACATCTCTAATCATCAGGGAAATGCAAATCAAAACCACAATGAGGTATCACTTAACTCCAGTGAGAATGGCCTTTATCAAAAAGTCTCCAAACAATAAATGCTGGCGTGGGTGTGGAGAGAGAGGAACACTCCTACACTGCTGGTGGGACTGCAAACTAGTTCAACCTCTGTGGAAAGCAATATGGAGATACCTTAAAGCGACACAAGTGAATCTACCATTTGATCCAGCAATCCCATTGCTGGGCATCTACCCAAATGATCCAATGACACTCTACAAAAAAGACACCTGCACTTGAATGTTTATAGCAGCACAATTCATAATTGCAAGGCTGTGGAAACAGCCCAAGTGCCCATCAATCCAAGAATGGATTAATAAAATGTGGTATATGTATACCATGGAGTACTATTCAGCTCTAAGAAACAACGGTGATATAGCACATCTTATATTTTCCTGGTTAGAGCTGGAACCCATACTACTAAGTGAAGTATCCCAAGAATGGAAAAACAAGCACCAGATATATTCTCCAGCAAACTGGTATTAACTGAGCAGCACCTAAGTGGACACATAGGTGCTACAGTAATAGGGTATTGGGGAGGTGGGAGGGGGGAGGGGGGCGGGTATACACATACATAATGAGTGAGATGTGCACCATCTGGGGGATGGTCATGATGGAGACTCAGACTTTTGGGGGGAGGGGGGGAAATGGGCATTTATTGAAACCTTAAAATCTGTACCCCCATAATATGCCAAAATAAAAAAAAAAAGAACTGGTCCATTCACGAACAAAACAGGATTCCTCTAATTGTCACTTCAGCTCAGGGACTTCTGATTGGCATGAGTGGAGTTTTCTCAGAGTTGCTCTATGTTCTGAGGCTCTTCCCATCTAATCCTTCCTCCTCGCTCTCCTGTCACAGGTGTTAGACCTGCATCACACTCCCTGGCTACTCCTGTTCCCTTTCCCTTTATCTTTCATAAGCATTTCCTCCAATAAATCTCTTGCACATCTAATGCCATATTGAGGTCTCGATGGATTCAAAATGATGCATTTATATAACAGTGTAGGCTAAATTACACTAGGCTAAACTCTCAAATGGTTGATTGGAAATAATTTCTTGGAAAATTGATCAATAGATGGTTAAGATTAGAATATGTACCTGAATATTAAAATAATAACGATGGAAATTTACATGTAAATTATTGAATGATTTAAGTGTCTTTTTCAACAAACAGGATATCCCTTGAGTCTTTGGTCTTAGAAGGCAAATCTATTTACTATCTAAGTGCCATTCTCTAGTTTTGGGATGATATGGTACAGTAGAAATTTTCCTTCTAAAACTCATTATAAACTTTATCTCATAAAAAGCAACTCAGAATTAAATCCCATTTTTCCACTTAAGGACCTCATTTTTATGTGCTATTAGGTAAAAGACATCAGAAAAAGTATAAACAGAGAGTAAAAGAAGGAAGAGGTTATTTATAGTTTGTAGCTTAGTAATATTTTTCTTTTTAACAACAGTAATACTATAACTTTGGTGTGATTTTATATACAGCAAAATAAAGTAGAAACAACAAACCTTGGCCTTTCCAAAGCCAACTGATACTAGACCTAATTCACCTATAGTGTGTCTCAAATATCATTCTATAACATGCTGAGAAAGCTCTGGATTCCTTGAGTATTTTTGTTTTGATTTCCTAAAAGGAAAAAAAAGTCATTTTCACGTGTCTTTGGAAAAAATCATTAGAAGTTCACCATAAACAATGAAAGGATGTTTTATTTGGGAATAAAGGAGCAGTGCCATTACACTTTCTTGGCTTACATTTGTCAAAAATAAAATCAGATCATATCAAAATTTTAAAAGTTGATTGTGCATAAAAAAAAAAAGCAGTTCACAAACTAGGAGACTTCAAACCAAAAGTGGTAAGAAGCTTGGCTCACAGACACTGCAGCTAATAAAGCATAAATGAGGAAATACTTTAATCCTTAGTGTGATTGGCTATTGCCAAAGGACTTTTTTCTTTGACCAAATCTTTAGTCGGGCTTCCCTGAGTCCTGTGCTTGACTAGGCCAGATTTTGGGCTTCCCTCTCTGTCCTTGTAGAATCTAGTTTGAGCAAGAATCCTGCTAAGTCAGTTTAGGGAAAATACCCCACACTTGGTATCTGATCACCCTTGATTTTTATTTTTAATTTTTTTAGAGACAAGGTCTCCCTCTTTCACCCAGACTGGAGTACAGTGGCAGGATCATAGCTCAGTGCAACCTCAAACACTTGGTCTCAGGTGATCCTTCCACTGCAGCCTCCCAGTAGCTGGGACTACAGGTGCATGCCTCCACGCCCAGTTAATTTTTCTTATTTTTTGTAGAGATGAGATCTCACTCTGCTATCTAGGCTATCCTTGCTATTTTATAACCATGGCCTGCTTTCAGCAATAATCCTGTCAAGTAAGGTTAGCCTGAAACCCCCTTTCCTTTATGTTTCTTTTAATAATTTCCATCCACTGACTCCTGTTTCTTGGTTTTAAATTACCACTTGTCCTTGTTGGAGTGGGAGTTGAGCATAACCTCTCTCTTCCACTGCACGACTTCATCACAGTGATCCCTATACCTATCTCCATGGTCTCCCTTAAATAAAGTCTATTAGACTTTATTCAGACTTACAAGTGTTTGGGTAACTTTTTAGATACTATTATAAACTTACATTCCTTTTAGGGCAAGTATAGCTGTATAAATTTGTCTATAGTTGATTGGTTCCATTGTATAGAATCAGGTTGACAAGAAAGAATGGCTTAAGTTTCCTTTATGATTAGAACATTTTGAGGGAAATCAGGATAGCTTAAGTTTTTGCTACATGGCTATGGGCAATTAGCCTAGGAGTATATCCAAACTGTAGCCTCCATCTGAATTTTCTTTAACAATTCCCCGCTTTTGGTTATTATCTCAGTTGGACTGAGAGTGTGACCAACTGTTTAGTGTTAATCATGGTCACCTCATGTTGTTTTTCTTTCTATCCATAGACATCTGTAGGTTGCAACTAGAATCTCAGTAGGTTCTTCTGATGATTCTTGTTCATGTAGTTTTGTTGTTTTTTCCTCACAAAGATCATCTGTCAACTCTGTGGCTGCTGACAAGCATTTAAGACCCTTGAGAGAGTACAACATACAAGAAATATTGGCAATATGACTAACAGGAAGATAGTACCAAGAGTCTGAAAAATACCCCAAAGCCAAGGTCCTCAAGAATAAAGATTTAACCAATTAAATAGATCAATTGATTGTGCCTCTCTGATTTGGTAGAATACTTGGATCTGATCTAAAAGATCAAAATCTCTAATTTTGAGCTATAATTCCTGACTTATTGCTATAGAAATGTCATTTTTCTCTGATAAGAACACAGGTTCCTCCTTGTTGAGCAGTTAGGGTATCAAAACCCCTCCTGTTTTAGAGTACGTACAACTGAGGCTAAACTGCTCACAGATTCTATCACTTAAAGAGAATTTAATGTATTATAAAAACTTTTTAATAGTTGTAGAAATATTGATAAGTAATTTTTCCAGTTCAGAGACCCCTAGTTGAAGGAAGAGTGTTCTAACAAAAAAATGGAATCCAGAGCTCATCTGCATAATTGGGTTTGGAAGCTCATGAGAAATGTGTTTGTGTGGGGTTACTTCATGTGCAAAAGATCCCAAGTTAAGAACTTGACTAATATTTAAAAAGTCTTATTTAGTTATTTGGGGTGAGAGATACCCTAAACTACAACATCCACACCACTTGAGTGGGAAATCTTTGTTGTAATATATCTTATTACAACAAAGAATGAATAATCTAGTGTTATCAATGGAGTTAAGGTGGTTCCCGTTACCAAAAAAATCAGATATGATGCAAGTATCATGATTATTTTTCATTGTGTTGGCATCTATACGTTGCTATGAATATTTGAATGTCTGTGGTTTAATCCACATTTCTGTGGATTCGATAAAGTAATCCATGTGTACCATTACCAACTAGATAAGACTGGTTCCCTTTTCAGATGTCCCTTAATTTTGATCTATCCAGTATACAGAACTATTGCCAACCTTATATAATGGTACTACAGAGACATTCCACTTGCCTATAGAGTTTCCATTGAACCAATGTCTGGTTTCAGTCAGTTCTTTAATAATATAAATGAGAGTGTCATCATTGTTTTTTGCTTTTAGATCTGTGTCATTATATGTAGGAGTTCACTCTCCATTTCTGAATCAAACTAGAAAGTTTGATTATAGAGTGAGTCTGGCATCTCACCTAAGTCAGGTCCAGTACCATTAAGGATTTCTATGAATGGAGAGAAGTTACTGGTAACAAATTTTATAGTGGTTATGCACCATATTTTGGCTTCTAATGTTTCTTACTAATGCCAAACCATTTGCCAAACCACTTGTAATGTTTCTTCCTAATGCCAAACTACTTGGCCATAATATTAGTTGAATGATTTGATAAGCTAGGGGAATGATGCCCAACCTTTTAGTAAAGCCATTTTCCCGAGTTAGTCACCCAAGCATGTATGGGGGCTGGTTCTAGTATTAAGAGATTTTTCCCAACTACTTAAATGGCTACATAACCAGTAATCAAACTGGTTAGTAAGGGAGACTATATGTTGAATAGTAGGTTTTAGTGAGTGTTTAGTCTGTGTAATAAAGGTTGCTAAGCAGGAGCAGAAATATGAGTTAAACATTTTGTGTTAGTTTGCAGAGTAGCAAGATTACAATGATTACTGTGGAAATAAAAAATCCTGGCAAAATAAAAGAAAATCCAATGGGTTTTTGATCCCTGTTCTTGGGCAAAAGCTGTCTACCTCACATTGTCTTCTGCTTCTGGGGAAAGTATTTTCCTAGATGTCCTTAATTTTAAGACAGCGTAGGTTGACAGGTTGTGAGAGCTGTTTTTAATTGAGAAACATGAACTCAAGGTTCAATGCCTTACAATTTGACTGCTGTATGTGAAATTAAAAGAACCTGATAAGGTCCCTTACAGCAAGATTCAAGTGCAGTTTTCCATTGATGTTTTTTCCAAAATACCCAGTCATCTGGTTCCAATGAGTGGAGTACAAGGTCATCATGAAATGTAATATCTCTGAGGGCTCCTTGGACCTGGGGGGGTAAGCTTTCAAACACTGCATCAGCTCTTTATAGTATCAGGTCATATTAAGTTTATGTAGCTAGATAAACGTGCGGTTCTGTTATTAAGAGCATAGGTTGTCCAGTGACAATTTCATAAAGAGTTAGTTTATGTTTTCCAAAAGGTGTAGATCTTATTGACATAAGAACTAAGGAAAGTATTTTAGGCCAGGGTAGTCCTTTAGTCTCAGTTTTTAATTTTAAAATACCATCGGTTATTTCTACCCTTTCCAGAATATTGGGGCTGATAGGGACAATAATAATGCAACAACACTTGAATGACCTTGTTTAATTGTTTATGACTTGTTCAGTAAAGTGTTTCCTCTATCACTTGAAATTTTTCTGGGAATTCCTCAAAGTAGAAAAATATTCCTTAGTAATTTTTTTGCTATAGTAATTGGATCAGCCCTTTCAGCATGGAAAAGGTTATATCCATCCTGAGAACATACAGGCTATTACAAGTATATATTGATAACCCATTTAGGTGGGCAACTGAATGAAGTCCATCTGTGTGTGTTTGAAAGGCCTTGATGGTGGGGGAGTTATTCCTGGGGCCACTTTATGAGCCTAATAAGTCAGACATTGATCACAGACTTGTTTGGCTGCTTTTGAAAAGTTTCCTCATCAATATTTTGTCAGGATCCAAATCATTTTGTCAACCTCATGGTAAAAGAATAGAATGCTCAGAGGAATGACACTTTTAGGGATTTGGGAAATAACAAGTGACTATCTGGGCCCTCCCAGAATCCCTTAATGATCTTGCATCCTTTATTATCCAATTTTGTTTTTCAGTTTCTGGGGCATAGTTCTGTCATTCATTTATTAATAAGTATTGGATTTCTTTAATGTCTTTAGGATGAATCTTATTCAGGGCACGCAAGTTACTTGATGGGTCAATTTCTTGGGTGGCAGCCTTAGCATGAAAATCAGCCATGGCATTTCCCTGATATTTAGGGTTAGTTTTATGAGCATGAGCTTCAATTATTATAATAACTGTTGTAATTATAAGGCTATTGTGATTATAAGCATAAGTTGTAATTGTAAGGCCATTAATTTGATTGCCTAATGGTTCCTTTTTTGGCCTAATGTCTTCTCATAATGTTCTTCTGGATGTTGCAGTTCTGTCAGTGGAGTGACCTCCCCATTCTGTTTCTTTATTAAGTCACTTATTTCTGTGTGCAGTCCATTAACAAAATGAGCTGATAAGGTCAGTTCATCACCTTGGCCTTTAAGGCCAGAGTGCTATTTGAAAACTTTTCTAGGCAGATCTGATAGTGCACAGCAGATACATCTTTTCTTGTTTAAAGATTAGATTATGGCCCAGTTTATTCACGAGGAATATTTCAGAATAGCTTCTAATAACTGTTGGCCCATTTTTCTAGCCCTTTGTATTCCCTTTTTGGAGTCATGCTTAGGATCTTCAAGGTATCCAGTGGGCTTTTTATAGCTATTTTCAAGCTTCCCCTGTGCCCCTGTGAACAAATTTATATATATCAGGGAGCCCTGGGTCATAGACATATAGAAGAATTTAAATTCTTCTGTAAACTTGACTTGGTCCTTTTTAGGGTCAGATAACTCCTTGTAATGGCTCAGAGTTCTGCATGAGACCAAGGTTTAAATTTAGCTATTGTACTGCAATATTTGAAGTTCATGTGAGGGTTTAATTTTTAGAGGAATCTGGTGTTGAGGGGAATCAGGCAGGAAGAGTAAGAGATCAAAAAGAGTTAGTGGATTCAGAATAATCAGGTAGCAAGAGTAGAGAAGAGGGGAGGGGTTGGCAGAAGGGTCTATAAAGTCGATGTATGTTTTAGCTTTTCATTTTTTATTAGTGCATTGTAAAGATCCCTTTAGAGAGGCTAATTTTGAGTCATTCTGTTTTTTGGAAGCCTCTGCATACCAAAGAATGCATTCCATTGTTTCTGAGAAGTTCAGGATGTTTTCTTTTAAGGACACCTCTAAGATGAACTATCTTATTTAAGTTGAAGTTTCCACAAAGTGGTCACTGCAATTCCAAATTATCTTTTGTAAAGTTCACCCATTTTTCCAAAAAGACAAAAAATGTTCACCCACAGTGGGTATACATGTAGGAAGCAGGGGTTTTTGAGGGAGTTGAGGAAAGGGTCTTGGACTAAGTAGAACCCATATTTGCCTTCGATTCCCCAATGCAACTATATTTATAGAAAACACAGGAGTTCTACCACTGTCTAAAAACCAAGGGAATCACAGATCTACCTTTATAAACAGACGGGTGACTTATCCAGAAGCTTCACCAAAACACAGGTATGCATAATAAAATCAGAAAACTTGAAACTCAAAAAGTGCAGAACTTGGATTCAAGAGAGACTTACCCTAGAACTCCATGGTCAGGGAGAAAGCAGTAAGTGCACTGGGCTCTGTCAGTACCTTGAGGCTCATGAGAGGCCTTTTTGGATTCCCAATTCTGACACCAAAACTGTCAAAAATAAAACCAGATTGAGTTAAAATTTTAAAAGTTTACTGTGCATAAAAAAACAGCGTGTAAACACACAGACTTCAAATTGAAAATGGTAAGAGGTTTGGCTCACAACAGTTATAACACAACTTCTAAAATGAACAAAGAAATACAATGATGTTATTGTGATTGACTATTATAAACATATTCTTTTTTACGGCAAAGAGAGCTGTATAACCTTATTTGTCAATAGATAGTAGGTTCAATTTTTATCAAATCATGCTGACAAGAAAGAAAAACTTAAGTTTTAATTATGTTTAGAGCTGGCATTTTTGAGGAAATCAGAATAGCTTAAGTTTCTGTTATGTGGCTATGGGCAGTTGGTTTGGTGGTATATCCAAACTGTGGCCTCCATTTTGACTTTTCTTCCATATTTTTAACTCACTCACTTTGGAAAATATCCAGCACATCAAAAAACTGTACCTGTGTTACATTGTAGTGATATTAAAATGCTGAACCATAAAAAAATGATACATTTTTATTGTAGCAAAATAGCTCTCTTTCCCAGAAAGTGATTGTGATTCCAGGTTGACAGAGAAATAAATATGACAAAAATGTAAATATTAGATCTTAATTATTCTAAATGTTTTAATGGATAAAAATAAGGGACTTTACAGAGATTATGTTGCTTGGGGTGTGTATGCAGTGTTTACATTCTGTTATCTAATAAAGATATTTAAGGGCAAATATGTGTGAAGGACATCCATTCATTCAATTATTAATAATATTAAATACGTTTCCCAAACGTGCCAGGCACTGTTCTAGATTTTAGAATATTTGATGACCTTTAAAAGGGGAGATGACTGCATGTTTGGCCTCAGCTATTCTTAGAAAGTGACAGCCTACTGATTTTGCCTCTGGATGAAGGATTTTCATGGATGATTATATCCTGGAATATGTTGTTTCTTTTAATTCTCTTTTTGTACTATTGTGTAAATTATGACTAATAAATAACAATTGAGATACCAATCTGCTGAATGCTTTTTGAAAAGAGATGCCACATATGAAGAAATTCTAGAGAGAACAACAACAACAAAATAGCCAGGAGAAAATTATCAAAGAAATTAATCAAGAAGATTTTCTAGAACCAAAAAAGATACAAATCCCCTGATATAGGACCTGCTGGGTGGCTAGCAGATTAAACAAAAAAAAAAGACCCACATCATGGCTTATCATAACTGTGGAAAAAAAAAGAGAAGACCCCTAAGAACTTTCAGAGAAAAAAACATTTAAAAACCAAGAATCAAAATTACATTGCACTTCTTGAGATTAACACAGGAAGGTAGGCCAGGCGTGGTGGCTCATGCCTGTAAGCCTAGCACTGCTTGAGCTCAGGAGTTTGAGACCAGCCTGAGCAAGAGTGAGATCCTGGTCTCTACGAAAAACAGAAAAAAAATTAGCCAGTCAACTAAAAATAGAAACAAACAAATTAGCTGGGTGTAGTGGTGAGCACCTATAGTCCCAACTACTCGGGAGGCTGAGGCAGGAGGATCGCCTGAGCCCAGGAGTTTGAGGTTGCTATGAGCTAGGCTGACACCATGGCACTGACTCTAGCTTGGGCAACAAAGCGAGACTCTGTCTAACAAAAAACAAAACAAAACAAAACAAAAACCAGGAAGCTAGAAGGCAGTGGTGCAACGTCTCAAAAAGCATTAGGGAAAATTATTTCTAGAGTTCTATACCCAGTTATATTATAAATTAAATATACACCTGGACTAAAGACAATTTCAGACATACAAGATCTCAAAAACTTTCCATTCTTTCTTAGGAGGCTACCAACAAAAAAGAAAAAAGAAATGTTCCTTGAAAAATAAGGAGAAATGCAAGAATGAGGAAGACAGAGTACAGATACTAGGAGATCGGTAAGAGAGACGTGAAAGAAATTCCCAAATTGATAATGAAGGCCAGTTCACAGACAACAGATGTATGGCAGGACAAAGAAACAAATGATAGAGATTGGAACAAAGAGAGAGAGGGCTCCAGGAGGGACAAAAATTGACAATGACAGCTTTCTGATGAGTTTAAATATTTTACAAGAAAATATTTTTATTCATGATAAATATTTATTGAGTACCCATTTTGGGCCATAAACATGGAACCACTTCCATGAAGCTTTCATTTTAGTATAGAAAGCAAGATAAGAAATAAGCAAATTGTATAATTTATTAGAAGGTTATTTTATATAATTTACTTAATTATATTTAATTTATATAATTTATTAGAAGGTTTATTATAAAGGTTATAAAAAAAAGAAAACATAAAGCATGGAAAAGTGGCTTAAAATTGCTGTAGGAAGGTGGTGGGGTTAGATGTGTATTACAGTTTTAAATAGTATGGTCAGTGTAGACCTCATTGTGAAGTAACATTTTAGCTAAGACCTGAGGGAAATTAGGGAATTAAGTCATGTGGAGATGTGGCAGAAGAACTTGCCTGGCATAGAGAACTTCCATACTGTTCTTCATAGTGGCTATATTATTTTGCATTCCTACCAACAGTGTGTAAGAGTTCCCTTTTCTCTGCATCCTCACCAGCATTTGTTATTTTTTTGTCTTGTTGATAACAGCCATTCTAACTGGGGTGAGATGATACCTCATTGTGGTTTTGATTTGTTTTTTCCCTGATGATTAGTGATGTTGATCATTTTTTCATATATATTTTTTTGGGGCCATTTGTATGTGTATGTCTCAAAAGACATTTCTTTTGAGAAATGTCTGTTCAGATCATTTTAATCTCATTATTTAGTTTTTTATTGTTGAAATGTTTCAGTTCCTTGTATATTCTGGATATCAATCCCCTGTCAGATGAGTAGTTTGCAAATATTTTCTCCCATTCTCTAGGTTGTCTTTTTACTCTGTTGATTGTTCCTTTGCTGTCCAGAAGCTAAGTAGGTTGATATAATTCCATTTGTTTATTTTTACTTTTGTTTCCTGTGATTTTGAGATCTTATTAATAAAATCTTTTTCCAGACTGATGTCCTGAAGCATTTCCCCTCTGTTTTCTTTTAGTAGTTTTATTGTTTCAGGTCTTACATATAGGTCTTTGATGCATTTTGAGTAATTTTTGTTTAAAGTGAGAGAAGTTTCATTCTTCTGCATATATATATCCAGTTTTCCCAGAATTATTGATTGAAGAAACTGTCCTTTCCACAGTGAGTGTTCTTGGCACCTTTGTCAAAAATCAGTTGGCTGTAAATATGTGGATTAATCTGAGTTCTCTATTCTGTTCCATTGGTCTATGCATCTGCTTTTATGCCAGTGCCATGCTGTTTTGATTATTACAGCTCTGTAATATATTTTGAAGTCAGGTAGTGTGATACCACCAGCTTTGTTCTTTTTATTCAGGATTGCTTTGGCTACTCGTGGTATTTTGTAGTTCCATACAAATTTTAGGATTTTTTTTCTATTTCTGTGAAGAATGTAATTGATATTTTGATAGGGATTGCATTGAATCTGTAGATTGCTTTGGGTAGTATTGCCATTTTAACGATATTAATTCTTCCAATTCATGAGCGTGGGATGTCTGTAGTCTCTTCAATTTCTCTCATCAGTGTTTTCTAGTTTTCCTTGTGGAGGTCTTTCACCTCCTTGGTTAAATTTATTCCTAGTTATTTTATTTTATTTTATTTTATTTTGTAGCTATTGTAAATGAGTTGGCCTCCTTCTTGATTTTTCAGCTAGTTCATCGTTTATGTATATAAACACGACTGATTTTTATAAATTAATTTTGTATCCTACAACTTTACTGAATTCATTTATTGGCTCTAAGAGTTTTTTGGTAGAGTCTTTAGGTTTTTCTATATGTAAGATCATGTCATCTGCAAACACGGACAATTTGACTTCCTCCTTTCCATTTTGGTTGTGCTTTATTTCTTGCTTTTGCCTAGTTGCTCTGGCTAAGACTTCCACTATTATGTTGAATAAGAGTGTTGAAAGTGGGCATCCTCATCTTGTTCCAGTTCTTAGAGCAAAAGCATTCAGCTTTTCCTCATTCAGTAACGTGTTAATTGTGGAAAATTTTTTTTTATAAAGGGAAAATTAAAACTACACTGAGATGTCACATTTGATCTAATCAGATAGGCAAATATACAGAATATTGATAACACTCTATGTTAAAGAGGATAATGGGTAAGCAGACATTCTCATGTAGTGCTTGTGGAGTATAAATGGGTATGGCAAATTGTTAAAATCTATCAAAATTACAAAATGTAGATACCCTTTTTCAGAAAGTTCTTGTTAACCCCAACTGCTGGGAGTTCTGCCAGCAGACTCTTCAACTGTCAGAACTTCCAAGTTTTGCCTCAGCTGCAAAGAGCTGTTTCACCCAGGGGCATGCTATTCTGTGACAGCCCACATCCAATGATATAAAGGCCTTGCCGCTTACCCCAATGCAGGACAACTCTGATGAGTCATTTCAGCTCCAAAGCTTCCCTGTGGGGTTATCTGGGGCTGCATAGGTACATCACAGGTCAACTTCTTCCTCTGCTTAATTCCACTTCTTTTTTCTCCTTTCTCCCTTCCAAAACTGTTGAATGCAAGGGCACTCCCTAATAGACATCTGGAACTCTAAATTTCTGCTTCAAAGTCTGCTTCCCAGAGAAACCAATCTGTGAAACTTTTGATACCTCACTTTGTTTCCAGGAGTTTATGTCATAGACTCACACATAGGCAAAATGATGTATATTCAAGGTTATTCATTGCAGATTATTTGTAAGAATTAACATTATAAACAACCTAAATGTCTGATGACATAAATCAGGCAACTGATTAAATAAAGTCCTATGTATGCAGTGGAATATTACATAGCAATATAAAAAATTGAGGAAGCCCTTTATATAATGATATGAAAAGATCTTCTGTGTGGGCTCGGTGCAGTGACTCACGCCTGTAATCCTAGCTCTCTGGGAGGCCGAAGTGGGCAGATTGCTCAAGGTCAGGAGTTCGAAACCAGCCTGAGCAAGAGCA